ACACACACACACACACACACACACACACACACACAAACGCACACTACCGGGTCTTAGGCCTGGGCAGGACTTGGACTTGGACTTGAGACTTTAAATTCTCGTGCCCATCAAGTTTGAGACCAAGTATTTAGAAGTGAGCAAGTCCAAGTCTTGCGTGGCCTAGCAAAATAGATCTATCCCTCAATCAAAAGATACAATTATTTTAACGCACAGCAGGTTTACAAACATAGAGTAAAGACTCAGTGAACCAATGTCTAAAGAAATGCTAAAAATTGGCATGTTTCTTATTAATTTTGTGCTTTAAGTTTGATTGTTTGAAGGAAGAGGCTAGCCGTACTTAATGACGGCTAGACTGTTACTTAAGTACGGCTAGACTCACGGTCTAGCCGTACTTAAGTTCGGCTAGACTTACAGTCTAGCCGTACTTATTCTTAATATGATGGCTAGACTGACCATTTACAAAAAAATAGGCCTACTGAATTGTAAATATACATTTTTAGTGTGCAGTACCTAAAGTATTTGTATTTGAGACAAAACCAGGTTCCTTAATGACAGTGCATGTATTTTAAACCTCCTGTTTTCTAATGTAAATAGGGCCTAAGATAAGTACTTAATATTGATGGCTGAATTGTAAATGAAAATTTTAGTTTGCAATGCCTAAAGTATTTGTATTTCAGACAAAACCAAAAGGTGCCTTACTGACTTGCATGTATTTGAACATGAATAATTACTAGATCTAGATCTAATGAGACCTGTGTACTTAACAGGATTGAGTCGATTGGGCCAAACCTAGATCTAAGTACGGCTAGACTGGCTGTACTTTTTAAGTACGGCTAGACTCTAGCAGCACTTCGTTGTTGGAATTCAAATACACCTACCACCCCTACTACTTGCTCGGACTTGCTCGTCCTAGGCGGATTGGTTGAGTCCATTTCTTCGATAAGGGGTAGGCAGTACCACCCCTATTACTTGCTAGGATTTGCTCGCCCTTGGTGTATTGGTTGAGTCCACTTCCTCGATAAGGGGTAGGCAGGCCTAGGCCCGGATAAGGCTTCAATGCCATCATTGCCATCCAAGGCTGAAGCAATTCCTGAGTTAATTAATACAACAGAGAACAGAACAAAACACAAACAAGCGAAGAAAAATACTTTTTTTTTTTTAAATTTTAAAATCCACCAAACAACAAGTACATGTATCACAAAGATGTTCCATACGTCTCAACATAGGTGGTTGGTTGGAGAACAAAAAAATATTGATAACGATAAAGGGAAGTAATGCTGATGGCTTAACTATCAAAGAGACTATTCATGCTACATGCACAGAATTCTGTGTGCTACATGTATACTTTATTACGTCCCCTGGACTTGAAATTGGGCTTGAGACTTGCGGGTCTCAAGGTGTTAGGACTTGAGACTTGAAAGTCCTATTTTTTTCTATTCTGCCCAAAAGCCTACCGGGTCTGGGCGCTGAAACTTTCCAACATCTCAAAAGAGTTCCCCTACCGGGTCTGTATACTTCGTGGCTTTGTTCCCGGTTACCGGGTCTGTATACACTTCGTAATATATGAGCATTATCTTTATAATAAGTGATTATGACACTTTGCTAAAATGAAAAAAAAGCTTTCTTTTTTTACTCCTCATTATTTTTAGATCAGGCTGTGAGACAGTAGGTCTGGAACTTCTTTTGTCTTTTGTCAGAATGAAGAACACTATTTTATGGGAAGTGTCTACATTCTCTAACATTAGCTCTAATGTTCAGTGCTTCCAATTTTCTGCCATTCTTTAGTTTCCTCCAGACCTTATCTGCCGATCCGATGCCCGCCGCCTCAGTGATACCCCTCCCCCCCCACCCCCCTCCCCCCAGTGGCTTACGGGCTTGAGCCCCCCAACTCCCCACCCCAACTCTATCCCTTAGTTAATGAAAGTTTCTTAAAAAACGAAATAACCAGTTGAAACCGTTATGATCACACGCAATGAATACACAGTGATCAGCTTGGGGGCCCGTTTATCCAATCATTGTAGTCACCGCTTACAACTATAGTACAAGTAACCTAACAGCCAATCAAATGCCGCTAAGATTTAACAGTTATTAATCACATCAAACCACTTTTGAGGCAACCTTTTCATCAGATAAAAACTGATTAGAGACATTTGGAGGTGAAACGGCTTGTCCCCACCATCCTGAAGAATTTAACGCAGAACAAAGAGATGGAAGACAAGGGTGACTCTTTTCGTTTGAATGGTTCTCAAAATGCCGTGGCTCGCCATGAGTATAGAAAAATCATCACTGTTTTGTTCTTATTGCTTGCTTTTGTGGTGGTAAAGAAGTGGAAGAACCCTAAGCCCCACCCAAATCTTGGTCCACCCACCGCCACTGCGCCCTCCCCCCCGCCCGATGTTTTCGAATTTCTCACTTTCTTCGTTGTAAAAAAAAGTACATCTTGATGGTCTTGATCTATTAGTTGCCTTTCCTGAAACAGTGCTGTAAAAACATTCTTAATCTTCCTCTCGCTGTTTGGAAGTTCTGATGGTCGAATGGACAGCGTGTCTGCGTTTGAAGTCAAACTATTATTTTTTTAGCGTGGGAATGAATCCCGGTCCAGGAAGTTGGGTTTTTTTTTTCTTCTTCTTCTTCTCCTCCTCCCAACTGACCAACAATTTTTTCCTATAATTATAATTTGTTGCTTTGTAGTTTTTTATGTAGTGATGAAACATGCATATTGTTCTGGTTTTGTCCCAAGAGGAGATTTTACCTACAAAGTATACTTTTCCTTAATTTTACCCATTTAGGCCTGGTTAAAGTTCAATAGTGGCTTTCCTTGGTCTGTGAGTCTAATTTTTTATATTTTTTTTATTTTAGGCTTAGAGAGGCCAAATTTTAGCTCATCAATTGCAAATTTTCTTCAGCTTCCGGAGGCTTCCTGTGGCCCCCAGACCCCTGCCAAGAGTTCCTCGTGCCAATTATTATTCGCCCTGGATGTTCTGGGTTGAGGGGCAGGGACAAATTGTTGGTCAGTCAGGAGGAGGGAAACAAACAACTTCTGGACTGGGATTCGATGCCACGCTTTGTAGCACTGAACATAAGAGAACGTAGACAGCTTGTATACGTTTTCTAACATTAAAGAACGTAGACGCTACCTCTATTTTATGACACAAACAAGATGGCTGCATAATTA